CTAAAGAGATTTTAATAAGATACTTTGTTAATTAAATGATCATCTAATATTTCGTTTAATGAAATAAATATGAGCAATAGCACTGAAGAAGAGAACATGAAAAATGAATGATTTCTTAATAGTATGTAGTATATTTTATTTTTACAGTTTGTCTACATTCAATATCATATTCTGTACCAATAAGATGACCGTCTACATGCTCTATAAGATGAAATTCAAGCATGGAATAGTGTGGATGTGTTGATTGATATTTCATAATAGAGAAACACCTAGCATCTGAAGGCGTTTTTTCACCATCGCCTCGATTCGTGAGGACCTAGCATAAAAACGAATCTTTTTTTATGGATTTCTTTTCAACTACATGTAATAAGTACTATTTCTTTTATTTCAAAAGATCGTATAATGTACATTTAATACATATAAATAGGTTTAAGAAAAAGAATAGAAACATGTATCATGAGATAAAAATGAATAACTATCATTTCGTTTTTCCACTGGACGTATAAACAATGCGGTGTTTATGTCATCTAGATTTAGTCGAGTACATCTAGAATCGATCATGAAATCATTAGTACCAAACTGGCATTCGATATTAGCTGTGGCTATTGGAGTTGAATGAATTGATCGAGCAAGTTTTGTTCAGACAGAACCAATGAATCGTAAAGGGATGAAATAAATAGTTAAATCTCACACTGGAGGATCGATAATTGAATGTTAACTGCAATGAGTTGAAGGCATATGTGAAGAAAACGAATTTATTACCAATGTATATGATCTAAGCTGAATCGTTTGCAAATGTGCATTCCAATTTTCAATTAATGATGTACTGCATCAAAGGATGACACAAACTATTTGTTTATATCATTCAAATACCCATATAACATTAATGTAGTAAGTTAGGTAATATTATACTTTTCAAGATTTTCTGTGTGAATTCAACTCTGATTAGAAAAACTGATTTCTTCTTTACAAAAATGAATTAGCTATCTACTAATTTTCAATAAATGTTCAATCTAGACAAAGAAAAAATGGTTCATATATCAATACAAAAGATGATTTGTTTTTGTTTTGAAGGCAATCTTTTCACTTTTGATACAAATTCCAGTACTATATTGAAATTTACTTGACAAGTGGGTTATGTGAACGTATGATACCGATTTAACTATCCTATTTCAATAATTCAACGATATCATCCGAACTGATTTTGAGGAATTTTCAGAAGACTCAAACGAGGGTATGGCCAGCTAACTCTGCTACCGGAGTGAAATTCCGTAACGTTTTTCGCTTATTTTGTTTCCTCGATAAATATCAGGCAGTAGCACGTAAAGAGTTGCGAGACGTCTTAAATTAAAGAGAAAAGTCTTGTACATATTCTAAGATATTTTTCGCTTTTGGAACGTTTGTCGTTTCCAAGGTATAATTAAAAAACTGATAACTACTTTTCGATTCTGAAAATTATTACTTTTGCAAAAGTGGTGTTCAATTCTTTTGTTATATCTTGGAAACGACAAATGTTCCAAAAGCGAAAAATATCTTAAAATATGTACAAGACTTTTCTCTTTAATTTAAGACGTCTCGCAACTCTTCACGTGCTACTGCCTGATATTTATCGAGAAAACAAAATGAGCGAAAAACGTTACGGAATTTCACTCCGGTAGCAGAGTTAGCTGGCCATACCCACGAGCAATTATTCTTAGCTAAACGGTAATATCAGCTGAGATGATTCAAAATTTTATCTTGCTCATAACTACAATAAGTCTTGCTTCATGATTGTGTATTTCTCCATGTATCATGTCTAATATATGATGTTAGATGCTGAGAAAGACATTAATTTAATATATAGAATCTGCATTTAACTTACTTTCATCTTTTCATGTGAAAACTTTTTCCACTATCAAAAGTCTTTGTTTAGGATTGTTAAAACAGAAATATATACTTGACAAAAAACGCATTCAGATCTCGATTTAGGACTCTTCATACTATCTGTCGCAGTAAGAACTAGATGAACCTTTTTATGTGGAAATCAGGATTAAATAGATGTGAATTCACGTTTTTCGACGCAATGTTTCATACGGTAACATTACCAAAAATACAGAACATGATAAAAAGTAACAATGCTCAAATTAGAAAAAACGTTGTTAAAAAATGTTTTCTTTCCGCTCTCTAATACATTTCATACAGGCCTTCGAAAACAAATCTATATATGTATATTTGTCTCACTGATACTATGCATCCATTCATTCTAATTAATCTAATAGTACAATTGAAATAAAAAGGAACCAATAAAACAACAATAAAACTATTGAATCTCGTTCATATTTTACATTTTTGAAGTAAATAGCATTAAAAAAAACTACCAAAACCATTGTGTTTATGAAAGAAAATCTTTCGAAATAGTTTTATGATTATGTAGAAAGTATTACAAAAAACTCTGTCACTAGTTATCAAACTCTAACAATCAATGCATCAAAAGTAACAACAAATCGACAACATCAATGACATTGTCTTGTACTTTTTGTTACTATGAAAAACCTATCAAGAAAAAAACGACATTTAAAAAAGCCTAATTCTTCTATAGACATATGATGCTGAACAACGTAATATTTTACACGAAGTTAGAAATAATAACTTTACAAAAAGTCATTCTTCTATGAACGATTCTTTATATTTTCTTTGACAGCAAGTAAATGATTTTGTGAACACTTCAAAATATCGAATTCTATACGTTTCTCAGCAGTTACTAGAACAACTTATGAGAAAGCCTCTACAGGTATCAAATTGTTTTTTGATCAAAACGATGTTTATTTGATGAATAATAGTAAGTAATAGAAAAGTTTAGAACAGTTTGATTGTCCGAACCTTCTTTGTTGAGATATAGAAATTCAACTAAGCTTTTCAACAACAACATTTTGTCCCGTTACGTCACATGAAAAATCGACGTTTGACTTCAAATTTTGAATAAAAAAGATTCTCAATCAGATTACTTCATTGAGCAAGTTTCAGCTTCTCTGGTATTTCCTATCTTGCGATACAGAATATTCGAGATCTTTCATGTGCAAAAGCAAATCTTGTTTGTATATTTACATCTTCAACAAGGAAATAATAGAAAAACTAAAACTTCCATAATCAACTAATCTCATTAAGAACTTAGTTCATACAAAGTTTGAAGTCAAAAGTCGATTTTCCACTTGATCTGAGAGGAATGAACAATCCGGTAAAACTTCAATATTCTCAGAACGAAAGCTGGAAAAACCCAAACAATTCTAAACTCTTTTATAACTCACTGATCAAGTAAACATTGTCCCAGTCGGAAAACGATTTCACACTTGACGAGGTTCGGTGTTCAGTTTTATTTTCAAAAATGATCCTTTCAAGTCTGTAAAAACATCTAAATACGTATCACAATATGCCCTATCAAACAGTATTCAGATATATCAATCTTTAATTATTTTTCTTAATAATTATATGATTTTCAAACCGATGATGATATGAAGAAAATATGATTATACATTATATCAGATGTTTTATTCGATTACAAGAGGCTTGAACAATCATTCATCGATAGCATTAAGTTATTTCTATTAGTAAAAGAAAATATGTATCGAAACAACGAGCTTTGAATAATAATCGATATTCGTAAAGAATGGTAGATAATTCACTTTTTTCTAGAGGATCTTCTGTTACAAATAAACCATGCTCATTCATTTTAGCTATCCAATAAATTATCATATTGATAGTAGAAAAATAATTACCTTGTTTTTATTTTTATCAAATTTCCATTTGATTATACATCCAAATTAAAACCAAAACAATAATCAATACATTATAACTTATCTTGTTTTCCTATCTGACAATACGTGTCTTATATTTGTATGTGTATACGAATGCAGAAAAATATTTTTATTTTGGTTAGCAAAAAAAAAACAATCCCATTTCCAACATACGTTTTTGAAATACAACACAAATAAACATTGAATAACAAAAAAAATTTGTCATTTCTACATGTAGTTAATCAATAAATTCCATAGTATAATTTTTTAAACAAATGGACGTTTAGCGGCTTGTGGTGGAATACATATTGCCGCATTACATGGATTGCGACAACATTTCCAAGTACCTTTGCAATCATTATCAACATCACAAAGATGTCGATCACATACGTACCAATCTCTATATTTTGGTTTGGCTTTAGACGTTGGACATTTGCCTCGTTTTGGTTGATTATCTTTAGGTATAATACAATGGAAACCACATGGTTGTGCAAGACGGAAACAACATTTTTTGCCTAATGGACATTTATCTTTTAGTGGTGAACATGTTGATTTACAATTTTTTGGCGGTCGAACAAATCCGTAACCAGGACAAACTTTTTGACCAGCATTGACAATTGAAACAATCATCAATAATAATAATAATAATACAGCATATAGATAATGAGACATAATTTGTATAATAAATGATTAATCTAAACTATACAATAGAATATATAATGTGTTAGAGTCAATTTAATATTTACGAAAAAGTATTAAAAAGATGAAAGATTATGAATACAAAGATGAGAGTAAATATATAACAACAAGACACTATTTTCAGCATCATGTTAATTTTCATATATGTTTTTATATGATCTCGATTTAAAATAAATCTTGTTCTTGAACTTCAAATTGAGTCTACCACATGAATATAAGTAGGTAAAGATAAAATTGCATACAACTCAATTTCTTTTTGGGTTTCATAAGTGTATGATAATACAAGATCGAAGAGGTATCAATCACATATGTACAATACTTACAATTGTAAAAAAATTATTTTTAGTTCTTGTCAAAAGATGAGAATCCCTTAATTACCTAACTCTCAAGATTGCATGATGTTTTGTGTAAAATCACACACTTTATATAGTGGTAATTGCAAGGAGAATATTCATAATGATTAGCGAAAATAAAAAAAGAAACCAATAAGTGTGATAATAGAATGACGAAGAAGATCACATGAAGCGAAGGATAGAAAAACAATAACAACGTATACGATGAAAGTGAGAAAAGTATGTGCGTAGGCTCAAACAACATCACGGAGTAGGTGTTTACCATCCCATCATATGCATATTAATAGTATTTGCTTTCCTGTTTATAATAATCTTGAATACTTATGTCGTAAATCATTAAAAAAATATTTCCTTTCGAATAATTATATCGGTTAAATGAACGATAAAGTATATTTTTAAGTTTATCATCGACCTTAATAACAGTCAAGCCAAGCTATTGAAAAGAGCGCTAAATAAATGAATGTGTTGATTTAAGAAAAACATCTCTAAATAATAGATATTTAAGATCGTACAAACGTAGTGATGGAAGAAGAAAAAATAAAATATAGAAACCAATAGCTTGTACTTTCTCTTCAATATCTTCTCGATTTTCAAGAAACCCTTCAGATCATACTTTAACTTTCCTGAGAAAAGGAGCTTGTTACCACAAATTGAACACCATTGATCACGAATAACTCTTTCCTGAATAATAAGTGAATTGTCCACTTTAATTTAGAATCAAAAATTTTCTTTATTCATATAAAATAATGATGAACAGTGTCAGAGTTACAACTAATTTTATTTTTTTAACTTTTTTCAGAACATGCTAATAAGCAACAGATACAAAGAAAAAAAAACAAGACGTGTATCTTTATGTATATGTCGTATCGAAATTATACCGATTGACAAAGTTATAACTTTGATGCTCACACTTGTCGAAGTTATTTTTCATTCACGTAATAATAAATATTTCAATAAACTCTATATTCTACTGCTGAATGTTTCATAAAAAATACACTTTGTGCTAATAAATATTCGTTCATTTGACAAAAGAAATATTTTTCATAAATTATAAGGAAAAAGTGTTATGGCTTGGAGGTTTTTTATCTCTATTTAAGTTCGTTTCTGATAAGCTTGGACATAGATTGAACTTTTGCGAATTATAAACCGAGTTTTATCCAAAACATGACATGAACATCAACATGAAAAATATTCTGCATGGTAGTAAGAGATTGACTTCATAGTTTATAAATAAAATCAAGTCACTCGGAAAGTTTTCAAGAGTAAATGTACACATGTGTGATATCGTCAACTATAGATTGTGTACTAATAATATAAAGGTTAATCTGATTAAATTAAATCAAAACTCACATATATAACTAAACACACTCTCAATAAAGATATTATAATTGGTAAATCTGTTTTCATTGTTAAATGATGAGCATATATACTAGTTGAAGTAATATCGTTAATTTTTTTTTTGACAATATAAGTATAAAGTAAGTTTTCAAGCATCAACTCTATTCAGCGTTTCACTAAACGACAGCTTTACCTGTATCGTTTCCTGCTATAATAATCAGAGTTAAAAATACTGAAGAAAAAAAGAAATTATATTCATCAATAAATTTAGTGTCTAACAACACTAACATCATCAATATTGTCTACAGTTATTGATTATGCAAAATGATATATGTTATGTAACTTTCATTGTCACAACTGGGCAGCATGTGCTAATAAATGATATTAAATATATAATTTCGTTCTAAATGCATGTATCTTATTTTTTTCGAATAATTTATGTTAAAAATGTGTCCTATCGATTCTATACATCCTCAACTATTTTCTAGTAATTTATGAATAATCTTTGTTTTGTTAAATGAACGGATATTTATTAGCACAAAGTGTATTTTTTATGAAACATTCAGCAGTAGAATATTCAGTTTATTTAAATATTTATTGATACGTGAATGAAAAATAACTTCGTCACGACATACGTATGTGCAGACAGTTACACATTTGAAGGAAGGAGAAAACTATTCAGAGAAAAGGAGAAAGAACAAAGAGCAAATCATCAATAGAATACACGTATCGAAAACAATACGACGTAATTTAACCGTCACGCATCATAACCAGACAGGTTCTATTGAAATTCGATATAATGGTATTAGTTGAAAAATGATTGTAGATCATAGAAAGATAAAGCTTTATTTTTACTATCAGACTATATAGAGAAAAAGTAATTTAAGCTTTTTATAAAGGATTAAAATAGGTCGGTGACTAAGTTTAGATGCTCGACGTATATCCACATCATTCGTCAATATTAATTAGATGGAATATTTTAATTTGATCTATTTGTGATAGATAATATAATCATTTTCTTTTTTTTTGCTAATTTAAACTGTATGATTTAATACGATATATTGAATTATGCAAAGTTGTTATTTATACTTGGAGATAATTTATATTGAATAGAATATCTCAAAACATCATCGTACGAAAAACGGTGACGTGAATATTACAAGATGTTCAAATATCCCATATATCAAAATAATTGATATCGGTTAACTTAGATGTTAGTTGTAAGCATAAAATTTAACTATAATATAAATCTCTTTCCTATTGGTTACAATCTAAATTTATTTTTACACTATTCTAAAGCTTGTTTATCTTAGTGTAAATTACATAATAAAACTGGTCATAAGTGTTTTTACATGACTATCATATTCGCTTGCTAGATAAATGGTACACCGAGAAATATTTTCTTATAAATTTTCTTTTAATTAACAGATGCTGGTAGATTTTTTATATGTTATTCTGATGTGAATATCTCATTGTCATACGAAATATTGTTCCATCGAGATCTATATCTTTATCGCTTGTATTGATTTCGATTTGATTGCAAACCATAGAAAGTCTCAACGTCAAACAAGCAAAATTTTTGACGATGCAAAATAACGCTGTGGGAAAACATTCAAAAAAAAACTCAACATACATAATTTGAAAGGATAAACATCGAAAACTAAACCTCGAAAAGATAAAACGTCGAAACTTAAAAAGTCGATGAGAAAAATATCGAAAGTACAAAATGTCGAAAAATTTGTAATATCCATTGAATAAAATCTATGACTCGTACATAGAGCTTATACGTTTGGCAAGGATTTGAGTCGAGATGTTGGTGAAAGCCTTCTATTCACTTGTATACACACTGACACCCGTCCAAACACCCGTATTCATCTCTTACACCTATCCTCACATTCTAGACCCATCTCCAAATCCTATAAGTACATATACGCATCCAAAAGTACAACAAAATTGAAAAAGTATACTTTATACAAGATAGGGTTACGGCAGTCTCAACTTGATGGAATAATGCAAGAATCAATGTTCTAAAATATATAAAAGAACTGTCATTCTTGGTAGCAAACGATGTAAGAAATCAAAATTAAATTCATTATTGTACTCTACTTAAAAATTTTGTCATTGTATTTGAATTGAAACTTAATTGAATTCTTCATTTAACCTTCTTATTCTCATATTCAGAAACAGCAAAACAAAATCTAAATTATCTTCCATTTAACCCTCCGTTGACGTTCTCATTTTGAAACTTCATGCATGTTCTGAGGCCCACTTGGATCTACCCATAAAAAAATTATAATAAATCGATACTTTTGTTTTACTTCAGCTATTCATTTCTGTGCTACAAGCCTCTAAATACTCTGTTCGTAAAGATATGTGTGTCACGTTTGATAAAGACAATATAGAGAAATACAATATTGAAAAAAGTTGTTTGATATCGATTCCATTACAACACTGAAATACAATTGAAAAAAATGATACATCCAATGGCCTCAGTCTAGAACGATAGAAATATGCTGATATATTCACATACATAATTGTCATCAGGTGCGAAGAGAAGCAATTTGTCTCTTTATAGATAGTTTCATTTTTATCTTTTTTTAAATTATGCTGATAACACCATTAGTACTCTAGGATCCACGTGGACTCACTACTGTATTTCTACCTCCCTAGGACTATTCCTAATTTCTGGTGAGAATATTATGGGCCTACTAAAGATTAGAGATTACCGAAGGGGAATGATTCTAAACAACAATTGCTGATGAAGTACTAGACGAAAAATTCTAAGATGGATCCGCGCAGACCCCACAACAGCAACGAAGGGTTAACAGTGTAAATTAGTAGTAATTGCAACGTTGAAAAATTTTCAACAGTCTCATTCTATATCAAACATTTTCAAGATATTCTTTTCGATATTCTTGTACTCCAAAATTTTGTAAATTCGATAATTATTTTTCGATATGCCTGATTTTGGAGATTTTACATTTTCAGCATGTTTTTCAATGTTTTTCTTCGATATTTTGCTTTTAAGCATCTTGGTTTTCGGTGTTTTACAACTTTCCCTGGATTTTACCTAAGATATTTTGTCTGTAAATACTTTGCAACAGATAAAGAAACACCATGTTCTTCTAGAAAGCCTTATTTCATATTTTACAACGATATGCTAGAAATAGCCGTATGAAAAGTTTGTTTGTTTGTTTTCGGTTATATTTTTACTGTAATTGCATTTCTAAGAGTGATGTAACTAGTTAAAAATACAGCGTTTTATCTCTCTCTCTATTACGAAAAATATTTACAAAATATAATGAAACGTAGAAGGACATTTCTGTTTCATTAAGTAACATTCTCTAGAATGCATTCTATCTTAGAGAACAGTCGTACACTGAATGGTATGTAGTAAAATGTTGCGAAGCTTGTGTTCTATAATATAGACAGAATATTATAAAATCCAACACTAAGAAATTGAGTAGACTTTCTTTTTTTTCTCGTACAAATTTTACTTAAGATTTGCAATTTATTCACATATAGAAAACACTTTCGACTTTGAGTGCAGAATTCTTTATAGTATCTGTAGAAATAAAACTAAATCGTTTTCTGGCATATCGGCAACTATAACACAAAGATGTTTATTGATAATTTTTATAATGTAGAGAAATCTTTTCCTATGACACTGGATCAATTATATTTAATGAACTGTCTCATTTATACATGTTCATTATTATATAAGATCATACTAAAAATCATGTACAGAAAACTTTTATTTCATTTATGTTTTACATCTTAAAGATGAATACTAGGAAAAAAATAATTCTATTTATCTCTAGTTGTTCAAAATTTTTTCATCATCATGTAGAAAATATTAAAGCAAACCAACCGTTTCATGGATTGCATTTGTTTTTTTTTCGAATGGTGACAAAAAATATTATTCACAAACGCAATAAACAATATTAGGATATATTTGTTATGATTGCACTCATATAGAACGACAAAAGGACGTGGATTTTTATCCTCAAAGAGTCAAACAGTTCGACAGAAGAAAATATCTAATAATGCGCTTCTTGATATTTTGCAGTGCATGAAAAGACAAAGTTTTATGTAAACATAACACAAATAATATCAAAATCTATATAATGCAGAAAATTTTCATATAATAGATCCTTTCAACCAATAAAGATTGTTATTAATTATCTCTGAGAATATCACATGAATAAAAAAATAAATAAATCATACATTAATAAGAAAATTCATGTTAAAAAAGAACATAAAATTGCAAAACATAGTTTCGATCTTGTCTTCATGTTTCATGAAGCATGCATTCATCATTTTTGTGATCATTCATTCACAAAGACAACGACATTTTCTATCTTTTCTACTTTCTGAATTTAAGTTTTCACTTGCAATAAAAAGTTTTCTCACTAGCAGTCGAAAAATGTCAAATTGCTATGACATATCGAGGGCAGGACAAGCTATGTAACCAATAAAAAAAAGGTTCTTTCGATGGCTGTTATATATGTTTCAGCTCTCGACATTTTGTCCAAAAATTTTTCTATCACCCGTTATTTATTTTATTGAAGTTAATATGAAGGAAAAAAAGAAGAAAAATAAAGATCAAATGAATAAAATACTTTATGGCTTTATGTAATATATTTATAATATGATTGAAGAATGTTCTTATAATGTTCAAAATCAACTTCATATTGATAAGTTATATAAATTTTTCGGTTCTGTTCATCAACCAATTCAATCTTATTATGCCGATCAAACTATTCAAAAAAAAAATTATTCTATGAAACAGATGAAAGAATATATTACTTCTAATAATTCCAAAAGACGTTGTTTAACAAGTAAACGAAATCGTTTCATTTGTTTATCATCATTATGATTAATTGATTGAAGAAGACACATTTCATGAACACGTCGTGTTTCTTGTTTAGTTAATTTACAAACTTCTCGTGCTTTATCAATCATTTCTTTTGTTACACGATCAGTTTTAAGTATTGATTCTTTAGAAAATAAATCTGGTAAATATTTATGACATAATTCAAGTGAAACAAGATCACGTAATGCAACAAATTCATCTGATGGATCTTCAGCTAGATGAAAATAAAAATTATTATTAAGCCTTACTCGAAGTTCGTAAATTACCTGTAATGTCTTGAACACGTGAATTTGTTCGTAAATCTTCATAAATTGCTGTTAAAAAACGTCGTCCATGATCTTTTCGTTGATAAGGTGGTAAAATTAACATTTCACTAAAAAATAAAACTCATCAAACAAAAAAAATCGATGCCACGAGTTCTAACCAAATTTGTGGTCGGTTTTTATCTGGATAAGCATAATATAGATAAACTGTAGTAAATCCAATAGGTGTATAAGATATTTGACCATTATCATTTTTATATTGTTGATAAATGATATAAACAATCGAATTTAAATTGTTTTTATTAATAGATGGTATGATATCGATAAAAAACATAAGAAATGTTTGAAGATGATAATACCAACCAAAGAATTTTGAATCACTAGGTAAATTTTGTAGATTTATACGATGAATAAAATAAGATTCATGTCCTGCTAATTCATAGCCTAATAATTGTTCACCAAATGGTAGATATTTATATTCAGTTTTTAATTTCGATAAAAATAATTCTAGATTTGTTGTTGTTGTTGTTGATGGCAACCATTGATTTAATGATGCAATTATAACATCAGGCTTAAAATAAAAACAATTTATTTATTAAAAAAAAAGAAAATAGATTTATTTACTTCCAATTGTTGGTCGCTTTTTAGATTAATTTTTTCGTCATAATGAATATTTAAATAAAAATTATTTGATGCTGATAAATAATAAACATGAATTTGTACACCATAATATCGGAAAAACGCTTTACTGAAATATTTTATATTATATAAATAATTAATTTTCTTTTTTGAAATTTACTTTTGAACAAATATTTGAGGAGTATATTTAGGTCGAAAATCAAGATCATCATTTCTTAAATCTTTTTCCAATTGAACTAAATAATTAAATATAATGAAATAATAATAAAATTTCAATGACTAACCTAATTTAAATTTTACAATACCATCATTTTCATTATCATTACCAGTAGATTCATATGAAAAACTAAAATAATAATAAATAACCTTAACTTTTTATACATAAATTGAATGAGATATAGTCATTGGAAATGAAGATAATAGATCAACTACTTAAGTAACTAAATAAATTCTGATTTTGAAGTAGCTGACTTACATGGATTTTATTGATGACGATGGAATATAAAAAGAATTGGATGATATTAATGACAAAGCATCATTAAGTTGTTGAAGTTCTTCCTCGCTTGTATCAATGTTATTTTTAATTTTTTTAATTTCATCTTGTAATAATGTCCATTGATAAGGGGTGTGGGTGTGTGGGTGTGTGGGTGTGGGTGTGGATGTGTGGGTG